CTACTCCTCTCTCTCTCTGGCTTTTTTTTTCTCTTTATCTCCTCTCTCTCTCTCTCTCTCTCTCTCGCGCCGGCGCGCCGCGCGCGCATGCTCTCTCTCTCTCTCGCTCTCTCTCTCTCTCTCTCTCTTCTCTCTCTCTCTCTCTCTCTCTCTCTCTCTCTCTTTCTCTCTCTCTTTCTCTCTCTCTCTCGCTCTCTGTATCTCTCTGTGTCTCTCTCTCTGTCTCTCTGTCTTTCTCTCTCTGTGTCTCTGTCTCTCTCCCTGTCTCTCTGTCTCTCTCTCTCTCTCTCTCTCTCTCTTCTCTGTGCTCTTCCTCTCTCTGTGTGTGTCTCTTCTCCCTGTCTCTCACGCTGTCTCTCTCGCTCTCTCTCTCGTTCGCGCGCTCTCTCTCTCTTTCTCTCTTTCGCTCTCTGTATCTCTCTCTCTCTGTCTCTCTCTGTCTCTATCTGTCTCTCTCTCTCTCTCTCTCTCTCTCTCTCTCTCTCTCTCTCTCTCTCTCTCTCTCTCTCTCTCTCTTTCTCTTCCCCTCCTCGCTCTCTTTCCCTCCTCGTTCTCTTCTTTCTCGCGCTCTCTTCCCCTCAATGTCCCTATCGCTCTTTTTCGTGCGCGTTCCTCTCTTCTCTCTCGCTCACTCGCTTACTTTTTCTGTTTTTCTCATTTCCTCATTCGTAATTTCTCTTCATCCCCTTCTCTTTCTGTCTCTCACACATACTCATACGCCCGACGCCTCTGTCTGTCTCGGGGGGACGCCGAGTGTGTTTCGAAGATGATTTTAATTGCGCACTTTCGGTACCAAATAATTAAATTCACACACCGCATCCCCCTCCAACCGCACGATCAGATGGGGGAAGGGGACTCAGCCTACCAGTCCGTCACACGAGTGAACACTGGAGGAGTCGAAAGATGAGGGGAAGATGTTTCACGAGATGATCGGGAGAACGATGTTCAACGAGACGTTCAAGCCATACTAAGCATGTAAATGCATCAATGGCGGCTATTGATTTTAATACATCACTCGCTACAAGAATGAATAAATATATTATATGGAACCCCTACAATAACCTAGGCACAGAAGAATGCTTCCAAATGAACGAAACCTCTTCGAAGCGATTCGCAATTTCCGCCACCGAACGACTTTGTTCACGTCAGGTTCGTTGCATATATTTGTTTTTACATTATATCATATTCATTCGTAAATTATCAATACGCGATATGCGTACGTTTTGATATACAATCATATTTACAAGCCGGGGACGCGAAACAATTAGATTCCCGGACAGATCTGTCTCTACGCTGCTGTTTCCCTGGGGAATACGAAGACCTTCGCAACAATGCGAAACACGTAAAACAGTCGAACCTATAACTATTAAACGCACGAGTGATAAATTCTAAGTGGCCGCTCAATGCTTTTTTTGTGCTTGGACGTCGGCACCGTTTGAGTAGCAGTTTGTTTGGATGATGGCAATAAAGACATGCGATTGTTTTGGTGCACATCACACTTACTCGCGCACGCACGCACGCACGCACGCACGCACGCACGATCGTGTGCAGAAAACCATTGTGTGCACGCAGAACACACGCATTCATACAGACGCCATACGCACACGTGCCACCATACACGCATACAACGCACGCACGCACGCATAGAGAAAGGGAAAGAGAAAGAGAAAGAGAAAGAGAAAGAGAAAGAGAGAAAGAGAGAAAGAGAGAGAGAGACTTATGAGGGAGAGGGGAAAAAAAGGAATGTGGAACTTAGAAAGACAAATAATGAGGAACGAGAGAGAGAAAGAAATAGAGCGGGAGAAAAAAATGGGGGAAATAGAGAAAGGGACAGCGGGAAAGTAACAGGAAAGAAAAACAAAGAACGGTAGAGTTATTTCTACACACACACACATAGTTAAAACTGAAGTTGAATTAAAATCACTCACGTGCATTCTTCAACGTCACGTGCAACGTTACACTCTGCAGTCAACACGGGAGCCAGTTACGACAACAACGACGGCGAAAATAGCGGCACTACTGCAATCCAATGTTTACACAAATTTGCTCGAGTTTCAACTCTAAACCATCGCATTATTATCATCTGCGTGGGTTTTCTACTGCTGTTGTATTCGTGAAGGCAAAACATTCACTAATAATTAATCCAAGTAAGCTATCATACTTGCACGCGTATAACTCCAGCGTGGGAGTTGCTATAATAAGCATGTGTTGGCAGACGAAACGTAATGTTAAGGGATCCGAAATTAAAGGGCAACCTTCCTAATTTAGGTAATGAAGCCTATAAGGATGATGACGTCCATGATATCTTACAGGCAAATGATTCGCAGGTACGAAAATAATCCAAGTATATGTAGGAAAATCGACGTAAAAACTTGTAAAGTTTATCAAAGATCTAAGTAGTTCGATCTCATATCGATTACAGTTCTGATGGCATTGTTGTATTGTGTTGTATCCGTACGATGACACTTTGCACGGTCTCAAAATCAATCGTGGCAGATACGATATCGAACTCAAACTCGTTATCGTACGGTATCTGTATGGTATCGAACTAATGCAGTATTGAACTCGAGTTTTCCCAAGTTGGTGACGTGGTCAGGCAGGCAGGGCACATTGCATGTGAACGAATGAACGAGGGTCTTAAAGAAAATGTTACACACACACACACGCATGCACGCACACACGCACGCGCGCACGCACACGCACACACATTTACAGGCACGCCCGCGCAGACTCATACACACGCTCGAACGCACGAACGAACACGCGCACGCACGCATACACAGCTGAAGTAAAACAACTCAAATAGAATCTCCGGAAACTCTTTTAGTCATTCCCTTCTCTCTTTCTCTCCGTTTCCCCTATCCCTTTTTCCCCGCTCCCTCCCTCAGCTCCCCCTCCCGCAGCTCCGATCCCTCTCCCAGCTCTCCCCACTCTCTCGCTCCCTCCCTCCCCCGCTATCCCGCTTCCTCCCTCTCCCGCTCTCCCTCCCCCTCCTCTCCCCTCCATCCCCCAGCTCCGCTCCCTCCACCAGCTCTCCCTCGCTCTCTCGCTCCCCCTCCCCTCCTCTCCCCTCCATCCCCCAGCTCCGCTCCCTCCACC